AGCATTGTGAATCATTGGCCGTTGCGTGCTCTCCCTTCGCCAGGATGACTTTTCGGCTGAGGTTTTCGGAATTGTGGCTGGCTCGCTCGTCTGCTTGAATGCCTAAATGTTAAATGCGTGTCTGAACTGGGCGTTGCGTGATGTTGCTGAATATTGACTACTTTGTGCCACTTCTTTCAATTCCAGTACTTCCGTTTCCTTCGTTCGCGTCTTCCGGAACTTCGACCTCCTGGCACGAGGTTTCCGGTCCTCTATGTGGTGTACATATATGTATACGAAAGAAAAAGAAATATATAAATGAAGCGACATGTACGTAGAGTTTTTGCTTCGAGGTTCTAAACAATGCCGGTAGATGGCAGCACGTGCGCGATACATATGCTTGTTATGATAGTGGCAATGCTTGTACTCTGCATTGGACGTACACGAAGAAAAATGAGGTTTCGGTTTGAGACACAAAAAGCAAGAAATCTGAGCATCGAATCTCCGAACTTGTATGACGGTGTGTTAATAGTTAATGGTTTTTATATAGTTCCTAGTCGCTACGATAGACTATGGCATTCCATGATATATGGTAAAACTTAATTTTTCTTAGTTTATGTCCTTCGTAAATATACGTATCTATAGTTACATGGACTTTGGTAGTGCTGTCAAACTGCCAGGAAGATTATAAGACTAGGATCATTTATTTCTTTGGGTTTCTTGTGGGTGACGTGAAGAAATGCCAGTCGGCCAAGCATTTGTGGATCTCAGTGCGACTATTATCGGACATAGGTGGATAAGACAGAACGGAAGGACTCCATTGGTTATTTTCAAACGTAGAAAAGGATAAATTAGAATCCGAGTCTTACGATTGGTCCGACGAAGAAATTCAGTTTGATTTCCATCGTCGATTTCAAAGAAAAATAGCCCGTCAATAAAGAGGAGGTTGAGGTACGTACCATCGTCGGGTTAGGTGTGACAAAGAAAATTGCGCTGTCCTTTTCGATCGATGAAGACAAATCAAGATAAAAATAACCTCTGAGAAATCATTCGCTTACCCCGTAATAATCCATCTGACAAAGTAAACTTCATACAGTAGTAGAACACTATCCCAACGTATTTCACCCGTCAAGCGAGACATTTTAAAAGCGACGGCAGCGCCGCCGTACGGAAAACTGTAATACTATCCGTATACTGCGCGCGCCTTTTCAAATTCCCTGACATCCGCGCGTTGCATTTCAGTCGGTATTCTTCTATTTTCCATTCCACGTCTGTGCTCGACTAGTTTTCGTTCAATGCCCTATTAGTGTGTTTCAGTATGGCGTCAGCCGACGTAGACGCTATCCCCTGCTATCACCCTCTTGCATCCCGAAAGCCAATGTCAACAGTTCTAACATTCATCGAGTTCCTTGCACCCCTTTGACCTCGTTGGCATTGCAGTAATGCGTCACGATTTATTTTCCTATACTATATACCTACTAAACTATTCTATATTTTTTCCCTTTCACATTCCAGCGTACCCAGTGCGTCCGAGCCGAACGCGGTATACATATATACAACTCCTGGCAGCGAGTCCACTGAATTTTATAGAGATATCCAGAAATGTATCAAGGCAGCCATCGGCTTTTTGGGTCTTAACCAACTAGACGAGTCCTCAGCCGCACTCGTGTTTTTCTAGAGTTTCACGTTACTTTTATAGACTACCGTTAAATAAACATCGGGACTTCCACTGCTAGTACTAATATACACTGACTGCACGGTACATATATATATATATAGTACACTAAATTACTACTGCGAGCAAGATCGAATCTGGTACCATGGGATCCTGAGAGTCTAACGATCGAACTAGTTTTACAAACAGACAAACATCGCGGTCCTTTACTGCTAGTTTAATGTTGTTAAAGGACCCAAAATCAATTCCGAATAGCGCAGCTTAGCAGGTTTGGTATTTCATGAACTGTACCCCGTGGCTTTAACGTCAAGTATATAGATTCTCATTGGAAATGTACCTGCGGCTATTCAATCTAATAAATTGCAATTAGTCGTATTGGTTGTAGAGATTGGAGGGATGATGTCATCAGTGCCAGCATCACTTTGGCAAATGTCAATATTTCAGTGGCAATGAAAAAAAAAACATGTCACGCGCACGCAGACGCTCGCGCAAACGACCACGTGGAAAACACTTTTGGAGGTACTTGAATTATTTTTAGAAACCCGATAAAAGGCCGTCGTGGAAAACAGAGAAAAAATTTATCTCCCTCTCGATCACAGGATAACTTCTTGCTCGGCATACGAGAAACAAGTGCTGGTCGGTAGTATGATTTTAGGCGTGAAAAACTAAGGGGATCGGAACAGCGTTGAAGCTACTTCGAAACCGTCAAGAATGCGAGCGTCCCCCCCTGATATACTCGGTAGCCAGCTTGTTCCTGGGGTTCGGGGGATGTACCGTAGGTGGACGAGGAGCGTCACGACGCTCTGTATGGGTAGTTTGTCACAGTCAAGTGCGCGCTAAGCATGCCCACACCATTTGTCTCTGATCTTCTATTCTCGCTGGGCCTCGGCTGGGCGCTCCGCAAACAGAATTTAATGCGAGTGCACTCGTAGTCTCTACGCCCTCTGCGACCTTTGACCCCCTCCTGCGTCTTTCGCTGCTTACTCTGACACTGTCAGCCTTAGTGTCTTCCGCTCTCCCCCCACCCCTCTGT